AGCGGCTGACGGCTGGAGCACAAGCGTGGAGTCCTGCCGAGGAGACACAGGAAGGTGGCAACATGGGAAAGACCAATGCCCCCCTCAGCCACATGTGATGAAGATGCCAGGCCATGGGAGCGGTCCTTTTCAGCAAAGACAGAGACTCCAGACACAGCTAGGCCAGGCCGAAGCAGAGGGAAAGGGGGCAGGAAGTTCCTAGAAAGAGAAAGAGTCTGAATTTTGACCTTGATGCCGAGTGTCCTGGCACCAGGGACTCATTACCCGTGAGGTGGGAAACAATGACAAGTGGCTGGAAGGCCTCCTTCCTGCAAGGTTTCCCCATCGGCACCCCAGGAACCCAGTTAACACACAGAATCCAGGAGTCTGAATCAAGATCCCAGGAGATTCTGCTTTTCCATTGGAAAAGCCAGGTGCCAGGGCGCCCACAGAGACAGCCCTCCATAATAAGGGTCTCGGGAGAAACAGCTCCCAGAAGTCTTCCAAGTGGCCCCAGGATTCAAACCCGGGTACCACATAGTCTCTCTCCCCGCCAGTCATAGTGCTAATGACAGTGCTCTAAGAAGCAAAGAGCTCACAATATTTGGGAACAGTAGCGTGATGGCCCCTCCCTCCAGCCTAACCCCACCCTCCATCCTCAGGCCAGATACCCACAGGCTCCCTCTGGGTACTGGGTACTGGGGTGGCCGGCTGCCACTCAGGAGCTCTAAGAAGTGAGTAAGCCAGGACTTCTGCCAGTTGCGGAAGCCTTAAAACACACCTTATAAATTTACACTCCCTTTCACCTATTAACACCTTCCTGCAGGCGAGCTCACAGCCCGAGCACAGAAGCACTGCAGGGTGTCGATCCAGCAGGCCTCCTTTGGCCTCCCCACCTCTGAGTCCCAGCCAGACAACAAGTGCCAGGAGGCTGGTTTTCCCATCAGTGGGCGCCCATCCCCAACCCCAGACCGAGCTTCCCTAGAAAAGAATGGGAATTGGAAAGAGGCAGCAAAGCTGGGGACCCCCAACAGGCTAAAAGCATAAGCATGATGAGGAAAGGGTGCACAACAGTCTGAGGGGCCGGCAGCACCTGGCATAGATACAGCCCACAGCGACAGTCCGCTCCAGTGACACGTGCAAGGCAGAGGGATGCAGGCCACCTCCACCTCCCTGCGCTAGCCCCGACAGGGTCCACGGCACCCACCCCGATAACGGCTGAGAGCATTAAATGTGATGAACGCCGAACTCACCAGACCACAGAAACACATCTGTGTCCGGGCACAGACATTCACTTCCTTGCCAGATCTCATAGTTTGAAAGTGCAAGCAGCAGCTGTAATGGGCATTGCAAGTGTCCAGAGAGAAGTAAGATTAAAGACTTCAAAGTTTCCCATCAACAGATCCAGAGGTTTATCTGCCCTGAACACACCCTGGGAATGAAATCTGACCTTCAAAGAAAGGGCTGATGTTTAGATTTGATGAGGGCAGAGGTTCCCACATTTGTATCGTAAACGTGAATCATCCAGGACTGTTACAAATCCAGGTTTGGAGCTTCCGAACCCAGGGGCTCCAAGGCTAGCCCCAATGGTGCTCAGGGGATCCACCATATGGTGTTGGGGCCTGAACCCAGATGGGCACAGGCTACAATGCACTTTCTTTCTTTCTTTCTTTCTTTCTTTCTTTCTTTCTTTCTTCTTTTCTTTTCTTGCTTGCTTGCTTGCTTGCTTTTGGGGTCACATCTGGCAATGCACAGGGGTTACTCCTGGCTTTGCACTCAGAAATTACTCCTGGCAGTGCTCAGGGGACCATATGGGATTCTGGGAATTGAACCTGGGTCAGCCATGTGCAAGGCAAACGCCCTACCCACTGTGCTATTGCTCCAGCCTGGACACTTTAACTGCTGGACTATCTCCTGACCATCTTTAGTGCTATCATCTAAAACAGGGACAGAGTTTGTATTTCTTGGTGCACTGGGCCAGCAGATCAAAGCCCCCAGGATGGGGTGCATGTGCCTTTCTCAGAGTCCAGGGGTAGCTGAAGAGACCCCATATTTTGAGAAACAAATTGTTACAGAATCTCCCACATAAGAAACCAGTCCAAAGAAAACAAAACCAATTTTAAAACAACACTCCAGGAGAACACCCATGAGGTAGTGAGCACAGACCCCAGCGAACAGGCTGTTCTGTAGGGGTCACCCCACCAGCGGAGCAACGGCATTTGCCAGACTGGCCCTATTCAAACGAGTCTGTAGCCTACTACAATGATCATCAAGCACTGCTTTGCTGCTTGATAGCAGAAGGTTGGAAAGCACTGTTCTGAATCATTCTGGGCAGCTGAAAATACACCGTAGTAACTTATTTGGGAATGGGGAGCTCCGAAGCAGTAATTAGGCAGGGGGGTGGAAGGTGGCCTCTCTACCGACTCTCCCTAAGTGGGCAGATAGTCCAGAGTAAGTGTCACTGCTACTCAGGCGGTGGTTGGGGGGGGGGGGGGGTTCCTGGTCCACCAATGGTGCTCCAGGGCCACATCCAGCAGTGCTCAGGGGACCATGTGGTATCGAGGCCGGACCCCAGGGGACACATGCAAGCATGCACTGTAACTGCAGCACTATCTCCTGACCATCTTTAGTGATTTTTAAAGCAGACTGCTTCCGGGGACGAGGTTAAAGATGGTTCCTGGCAGTGGCCTGGGGAGCATGTGGTGCTGAGGAACAAGCCTGGGGCTCCAGCATGCAGACCATGAGCTGTGGTCCTTTCAGCCATCTCCTCAGACCCGACAAAACTCTTGGGAGCAGCCATGTAGGAAATACAGGGTCCCGGGAGACTGCTCATCGCTGTTTTATTCATTTACCTCCTCTCTATACTTAACATGTGATGCTGTTTCTTTTGGGGAGTGGGCTTACTCCTGGCCATGTGATCACCTCTCAGGCTGGCTGTGTGCAAGGAAAAGTCCCTTAAATTCCTGTACTAGGTCTCCAGTCCCTTGGCTGATTTCAATTTCTGTAGCTGACTCTAACGAAGTTTTCTCTCAAGCTAAGATTTTTTCCTACCAAGTTGCTAGATACGGTCAATTCCCAAGTGAATGGGATGAATGTAATTTTCAGACTGGGTGGTCTCTATGTGGTCTAATTTATCCTAAGGTGTTCTGGGGGCAGATCAGCAAAACATCTAAAAGGTTGGTGCTTTCTGATCGGAGCTTAAATTCTGGCTACTCTGGGGGTTAGAGACACACAAAGATACTTCAGACCCTCTGATTCGAGATTCTCAGAGAAGGGTGAGGAAATCTGCTCTTCCGCTGCCTAGCATAGGAAACCCACTTTCCTAAGAAGGCACAATTCTATGAAAAGAAGTGAGGGAAAGCTTGGCCAAACTACTTGTAGATTCATTCCTCGAACTGAACTTGGAGCGAGGCTTTACTACTCTGGCCCCCTATGGCTATAAGCCTAAGGTCACTTATTCCTAATATTAAATCCATTGAAACACCTACTGAAATCAATAGCAAAATGCATTTTCCTATGAGCACATAGGGCAGACGTGAGACCAGCCCTGCACACTGGTTTAGAGTAACACATAATTTATGATAATCTTTGTGGTGTCCCGCTGCTCTAGCTGGGTTTCTGCTCAAACTACAGGCACCAGGAGCTAACGCATCGAGTGGCGGGACCCTGAGTGGCCCAGAATCTGCTGAGTCTGCACCACTCCCCTGGAAGGAAGGGGCTGCCCTCCAGTGCACTTCCTGCAAACGGAGAGGTTTGTGCACCAACAAGATATGGCCTGTGCCTGATTGTGTCTGTCACCTGTGCCCAGCTATGCCAACTCCCCTGGGGAAATGGTGAGGCTGCTTCCTCAGCTCCCCATTGCCTGCCTGGAGCCCCAGTATACAAACATCCTCAAATACAAGGAAGAGCTTAGGACAAAGTTGCAAACTTTGTCTGAGTCCAACTCGTTCTTCCCTATTTACCCACTGAGGGAGGAAGTTAAGTTTTCCAATAAACTACTTTTCTGGCTTAGGTCAGAGTGAGCTTGTGTTTCCAGATGAGCAGCCACGGTAGGAGCTGTAAGTGAAAAACGTTCTTTCATCTCAACTCCAGGCCTGCAGAATATTGGCAAGGCTATTCCAGAAGGCAAAACTGAGGCCGGGATGCCGAAAAGGACAGTGCGTAGGTGGAGCTAACTTCAGATTCCGGGGTAACTGCAGCGATTCCCCTGCTCCACAGATTCATTTTCAGTGCTGAGGCCAGCCACGGGACTTTGAGCTGATTCCCAAAGATCCCTTGAACATATGGCCACAGGCTCTCGCTTATCTCCAGCACAACCAGCAAATGTCCAACATCTCCCATTTTTGCTAAGATGTGCAATACCTGCAGATAAGCTAGCCAAGAGCCGCAAGCTTTGAACTAATTCTAGCATATCCATCTTGGAACGGAAACCAAAATCCTCAAGTCCGAGTTCCTCTCCTTCCCCCGCTAGCCCCCTACTCCCATGGCCCCGATTCTAGGAAACTGAGAGAGGACTTTTCATTTCTTGGGCAAACAAAAAGGAAAAGACCAAGAGACATCTCACCCCACCGCACCCCCACCTCGTCCCCGGGCGCAGGAACTTGCTGGGCGCGCTGATGACTGACAGCTCGCACGTGCTGCGGGGACCCGGGGCTCAGCTCTGCACCCAGCTCAGCCTAGGCCGGCGGGGCGCGAGGGACCGCGCCCGCGGGTCTGGAAACCGGTGAACTCCTCCACGGCACGGGAGATTTATTTGGGTGCCTCTTTTTTGCAGAGGTTTCCTCAAGTTCCAAGTGCGGCCCCGCTGCGGGCGCGCGGTGCTCTCAGCTTGGGGATGCCCGGTTCCCGGGCACACGTGCAGGCTCACACTCCCGGCCCGTGGCGCTGGCGTCGGGGGGTCGGAAGCTCAGGGACCGCACCGGGCGCGGTCGGGTGGGACGCCAATCGCCCCCCGGAGCAGCCCCGGGCGGAGCGGGGGGTGGGGGGGTGCTTAACGCGCGCGCGGCGTCCCGCATACTCACCGCGACCTCTGCAGCTGCTCGAAGGCGCTGGCGCTGCCCCCCGGGCCGGGCTGCTCCAGGGGGCAGTAATTCTGCGAGCTGGGCCTGGAGAAGCCGATGGGCAGGATTCCCTGAGTGAAGGAGTTGAGGCGGCCCCGACTGCCGCCGCCACTGCCGGGGGTCGCAGAGCCCAGGAAGGCGGCGGCGGGCACCTGCACGCTGGTAAAGGCATCGTCCTCCTCCGACTCCTCGGGTCCCGAGCCCCCGAGCCCGTCGGGCAGCTGCGGCGGCGCCGACCGCGGGGTCTGCCACGGCTCCCCCGACGCCCGGCCCGCGCCCAGGGGACTGGAGAAGCCGCGGGCCGCCGCGTGGCCGCCGGGCAGCAGGGCCGGCAGCGGCGGGTGCGGCGCCGGGCAGGGGCCCGCGCCCGCCGCCAGCGCCGCCGCCGCCGCCGCCGTGCCCGCCGCGGCCAGCAGGCTGTGCCGGCTCCGGGCGCCGCCGTCCTCGCCGCCGCCCCACTCGGCGCCCTGCGGCGGCCGGCCGTCCAGCGAGATGTTGGTGAGGAAGGACAGGGCAGCCTGGCGGCGCCGCGGGTCCATGCGCGGCTTCCGGGGGGGCTGCTCGGGCGGCGGCCCCGCGCCGGTGCCCGCGGCGTCGGTGCCCGCGCGGCCGCGGCTGCTGCGGGCGGCGCTGCCCGCCGTGGCGGCCATTGTGTCCGTGCGCGGCGAGAGCTCGGCGGGGCCCGCGGCTAGGGGCCGGGCTGGGCAGCGCGCGGGGCGCGGGCGGCGTGCGGGCGGCCCATGCTCGGCCCGGCCCGGCCGCCGCGTCCCTGGGTGCGCGCGCCCCGCGCCCGCGCTCCGAGCGCTCCTCGCGATCCCACGGCGTCACGTGGAGGGCACGGCACCCGGGAGCCAAACAAAGCTGGGCGGGAGGAGGAAGAGGGGCCGGGGAGGCGGCGAGGGGCGCCCCGGCTTCCTGCGGCGCGCGGGAGCCGGCACGTGGCCCCCCGCGCGCGCGCGCCCCGCGCGGGGCACCCCCGGGGCTCGCCGCGGGAGGCAGGCGGGGGGTCCCGGAGGACTCAGGGGGTCCGCTCGGGGCTGGTTCGCCGCGACGCAGGAGTCCGGCTGCACCCCGAGAAACAGCCTTCTGAAGAGTTACCTGGCTGGGTCCCCTGCCCCTCCCTCCCCGTGGACTGTCCAACCGTCGCCAAGACTGGAGTGAGTTCAGACTCATTCATTCGCAGGCGCAGGACGGTGACCCCCCCCCCCCCCCCCCGGCAGATGCGCACGAGGGGCGGGGGGCCGCAGACCGTCCGCGCGGCCACACTCCTTGACAGAGCTCACCTTGCTTGGCTTTCTTGGCAAATTCTAAGACAAATGTTCACTTGGACCCCGAAACGTATAACGGAGGTAGACTGCCACCCTTAGGTCTAGGTCCCCTTGCACGCTTTTGTAGATATGGTCTCTTTATCTCCTACATAAAGTAGGACCAATCCGGTGAGGTACTTCGTGTCGTGTTGAGTAGGAACCTACCTAGTTGGGGGTACCTTGGACAAAGAGGAACTCCGCCCGAGCTGCGGCTCCGGCTCTGCCCAGGCTTCGAGGAATGTTTTATTTCCCCCTCCCCCCCCCACCCCTGTCCCGCCGCAGTAAATGCCTGTTTGGGGGCGGGGGTTCCCGCCGAGAGCCCCTGCGGCTTTCCCAGTGCTCTTTGGGTGACTTAGCAAATGCAATAAGGAACAGTCGTCACACCAAATTAAGCCCTGCGACATCTAAGAAACCTCTGTGCACTTTTCAGAGGTAGAAGCAATGCATTTAAGATCAACGGATTAATTTAATTAAAGGTTTAAATTTAGCCCTGAAGCTAATGGGTAAGTCTACGTGGAAATTCCACTCCATTTCAACTTCAGGAAAGTAAACTGAGAAATGGAGAGCACATACACCACTTCTGCGGTGCACCAACTTGGAGGATGAGAGAGGGGCGCGTTTCAGGTTACGTTTGCTCAGGATGAACGTGGTGTATGGCGCTTTACAAGATCAATTGTTCAAATTTTCTTTTATGTCATTTTTAGGCCTTTGGAAACAGTTGCCCGGATATCTGTTTATCTTACAGCTGCTAAGTCAAAGCTGGGTGGCCAGCTCTGAAATTTCATTAGGATTTTAATGACTTTAACTCCTAGAATCTTCAGGATTGCTTTATTATAATTAAGTTAATTTACCTGACCACTGGCCTGGATGTGCTGGCAGGCAGTGTTAAATGAAAAACTAACTCTGCACGTATAAAGGAACAAAGTTTTTCATTATGAAATGTTAATTGTAGGAACCTGAGAGAAGTATAGCCGTTAAGGCCCTTTGCCTTGCACACAGCCAACCTGAGATTGATCCCTTGGAACCCCTTAGGGTCCCCCGAGCACTACCAGAAGTGACTTCTGAGTGCAGAGCCAGGTATAACCCCTGAGCACTGTAGGCCAGGTGTAACTCCTGAGCACCATAGGACATTCTGCCTCCAAACAGAACAAGAAGCTAACTGCAGAACACTTACAGAAGTTAAAAAGAAACAACTCAATTTCTTTATTTCTAGTCTCTCTTATTTTCCCCTGGAGTGTGTTTTTTAAACTAAAGTGCGTCCAGGCTGTTTGTGTATTGTGATTTTTGCTGGCTCTTAGAATCATCTCCATTTAGATTATTCTTCTATAGCATCACTTCAATGACTGCAGAGTTCACCTTTATGGAAACAATACTTCTTAAATTTGTACCCTGAATTAATATTTTGTAATCATTTTCTACCTTTGCTTTTCTAAAGAATGCTGATTGTATCATTGTTCTTCTAAATTTTTCTATCATCCAATATTATTCTTTTAGATCGAGTACATGCTGCAGCAAATGGCATATTATGTTTTTAAGTCTCTCCTTAAAAATTGTCCTATCCTACTTCCTTACCCTATTTGTAGCACTGTGTATTAAGTTTTGTTCATAAATATTGATTCCTTTGCCTTTTATACCTCTGCCTCTTTTAGGTGAAAATTAATTTCTAATATTTATTAAAACACCAAACAAGAGTTAGCTACTTAATCACCGAATTGTTCCTGTAATCCTTGAGACCTAAAAGAGATGATTTATCATTTACCTCCAGTGCCAGGCGCAAAGATATCTCTAATCCTCATAACCAGCCCTGCAGTGAGAGAAGAGGTGTGTTGTCATCAATATTTAACAGGTAAAGCTCAGAAAAATTAATTTGCCCAAGTTTACCTAGCTCTTAAAAGTTGAGCCAATTGGCAAGTCGATCTTATTTCAAGACACAGCCCCCCCCCCCCCCCCCCCCCCCCCCCCCCCCCGCCCCGGCCCACCCCGCCATTCTTGCGCCCTCTGCTGGTAGGCAGACACAGTCTTGTTAATACTGTTTTGATTCTTTTTTTTTTTTTTTTAATTTTTATTAGTGAAACACCATGAGGTACAGTTGTAGACTTACAAATTTTTGTGCTTGGGTTTCAGTTATACAATGATCAAATACCCATCCCTCCACTAGTGCCCATTTTCCACCACCACGGGTTCCAGTATCCCTCCCACCCCCCACCCCTCCAATCCCCCCCTATCTCTGTGGCAGGGCATTCCCTTTTGTTCTCTCTCTTCTTTTGGGTGTTGTGGTGATTCTTGAATCAAAATAAGAAACAATTCGGTCTTTAGGCAAAGGGGATCTGTGTTTTAAGAACTAGTATCTTTGACTCCCCAAATCAGTTTTCCTGTGGGTAATTAATTGATTCCAAGGTACAAATGAAACTTCACAAGAAATATTTTATAAACCTTACAGTATTTTTTTAAAAATGAGTCAGTGACTACTTATACCATCCTCATCTGCTTACTCTCTCAATTTCTCCCAATTTACCAATTCATTCATCAGGTGTTCTTGACCAATCTGAACTTGCACAGCATAATTTAGATGCTTCAGGATGTTTTTAAGCAGCTTCTAGCCCGTGGGCATGTGATGGTGAACCACAAAAGCCCAATCATTTTCCTGTTTTCTCTTCCAAGCACCCATTCTGAAAACTTTTTTGCATGCTCTATTGGCAGTGATGCATGCTGGAGGTATTTTTAAAAAGAAAGGAAGAAAAAGAACCTACAAGTGACCTTTTAAAAAGTCATTTTGCAGACCCAGAAGTCTGAAAATCCACTTAGAGATGACAATGGCTATCACTCAATAACAGAAACAATCTGATATCATGGAAAATATCCAGGCTTCCAGTGCCAGTTTAGCTTCTTATAAGCTTGTGACCTTTTGCAGCTCCATCCTGGGAGAGTGATAAACTTTCTGCATTGGCTGCCTGTAAAGATAAACTTGACAATATTTCACTTTGCAGAATGGCAAGAATTGTTATAACATAAAGGGATAAGTAGCAGAAATCTCAAGTAGTTATTACTAGAAAGATGTAAAATGGAGAAGGTACATGTAGCTCTTGAAAGTGGTTGGGCCAATTTTAGGTTCTAGGTATTGTAGGTTTTACTGGCACTGACCAGGAGGCAGGATCATAAGAAAGCAGTGGTCATCAAAAATAGAGAGAGAGTAAGAAGGAATGTACCTGCCCCCAGAAGCAGGGGGTGGGATGGGGTGGGGGTGGCAGGAGGGATACTGGGAACATGGGTGGAAAATGTGCACTGGTGGAGAGATGGTTGTTCAATCATTGTATGACTGAAATGTAATCATGAAAGTTTGTAACTATCTCACAGTGATTATGTATATTATATATCTGTCACTGTCCTCCCGTTGTTCATCGATGTAATATATATTATATATGTTATAGTGGTCAGCTCTAGTTCAGAACAGATCATTGTAAGGCCTCTACCAGCTGCTCAAATGCACATCAGACTAGTAGACTAGTTGACTTAAATTATAGGTTCAGGGCTGATAAGAAATATTCTGCTTCCTTTAACACCCCCCCCCCCCCGCCCCAACTGATTCTTCCTGATGAGAAATGAACAATGGCTGAAAGATCATCCTCACTTCCCTGAACTCCCCCTCTAGAAACTCACCTTTTCTGTAGGGACTCTGGATTGCTAAATGGGCTTAGGAAAGGTGAATAGAGATTGAAGGTAAGCGATCACCCCTTTTGCAATTTGGCATAGATGCCTTCATTTCCCCCAGGACCTCTGAAATCAGATACATTTCAGTAAAGCTTGAATAGAACACCTGGGATAGTTTAAGAAGGAAAAATGAGCTCAGTGGATAACAGAAGTCACATACTGCAGCTTACTCAGAGGGCTCATCCCATAGTTTCTAAAAGTCAGTCCCATTCTGTGTTAGCTGTAGGACACCAGGGAAAGGCGTCCTACAGGAATACCTGGAGTCCCTGGCTAACAATGGAGAAAGTCCCGTTAATATTCTCACACATCACAGCATCTACTGTGTTTAAGAGCAAGAGAGAAAGCTGTAGGGACAAGGTTCATGCAAAACCAAGCCGCCCTCTTTGCATAGACTCTTTCATCCAGCCCCAGGAGGAAAGAGCTCCACCTCTCCCTACAGAGAAGAAGGTGCTCGGGCAGGGTGGCATACCTGCTACTTCTTGCCATAGTGCCATCCTCCAAGTCTCTTCCTGCCCATTGAACCACCTCTCCTCCCTGACTCCCACAAACACTGTAGTTCCAAAGAGGACCATCTTGGGCCAAGAGATAGTACAGGGGGTAAGGAGCTTGTCTCGTGTGGTTGACCCCAGTTCAATACCTAACCACTGCCAGTAGTAAGCCCTGAGCATGTTTAGGTTTGGCCAAACCCTCTCCTCCATCCAAAAAAAAAAAAAATTACCCCATCTCCAG